TTTTCTAGAATCCTTTATTCAGTTGTCTGAATCTGCTGTAAGAAGAGGTTTAAAATGCTTGCCGAGTTGTTGCCAGATTAATACAGGCTATTTAGGTTTACAGGCTCTGGATTTAGCAACACGATCATATACAGTTGGTGTTTTCTTGCACTTAGTTGGATGGGTCAAGATAAAATACCTCCACCTAATCAACGTTGAAGAACATACTAGTCCCGGCCAGGGCCATATCACTATTCTTCACTGAAGCTGGAACAGAGTAGTACTTGTCCAAGACTGCTTTTGAGTATTTGCTAGTGTTGGCATCATCAGCAATGATGATGTCATTACCAAACTGTGGACCATCATATAAATTCCTTCTAATTGCCTTTCCTGTGTATTCTTTCTTCACCTTGCTCACAAACGGTGCCAACCCTTCAGTGTTGTTGAGCGAAAAGATAACGGCTTTGGTAGTCTCGCCCCAGCTATTACTGTTTCCTAACAAAATACGAGCTTAAAATAAGATTTCAATTTTTCATATATACATATACTTTAACGTGTCTTATTTTAAATTCCCATTATTTTTTTACCATGAGTGTTTTTCTCTAGGTATTCCATAATATCCCATTTTCACAATGACGTCATTTTTTTGCAGCAACCAGAATTCGCTTCACTTTTGCTGTCTTATTTAAACGAATAAATATTAAACCCATTGAGGTTAAGCAACTGACAATAGGGTTAAATTGTACTACCTTATTACACGACACTTTTTGCGAATTAAAGTGACGCGAACAATAAGAGTCGCGAACATACAGTAATGCGAAAATTAAGCAAGTGAAAGGATGAGAGGAAGAACGGGAATAACAAGGGATGTAGCTGGTAGTAGACATGACATAACTTGCGAGGCTTCTTTAAAGTGGGTATCGTGGACAATACCCGCCAGTGCATCATTTTGCAGAAGAAGTCAATTTATTTGATTAAATAAAAAATTTAAGTTTTTGTGTCTTACTCAAAAACGCGAAATTTTAAAAGCGACTCCCAATCTAAAATTTTAGGAAAACCGGGAAAATTTAAGTGTCGCGAAAATTTCATGTGATAATTTGATATAAAGAGCGCAATATAATTAAAAAAAATGTAGTGTTGTTGTTTAAAATCCGAGCCCGAGACTCGGTAACCGAGAAGGCCGAGTAATTAATAATCTAGAAGCCCTTGAACTCTGAAAAACTCGACTCTTGAAAATCAAATAAAACAAAACGACAAATCTGAAACTGCAAACCGCTCGGAAAAACGAGACTTCGACCGACCAATCAAAAATGCTTCCAAGATTACGAGATGGGGCCAAAACTTTCCGAGACCCACGTTTTTCGAAGTACCTTTCCCCTGTCACTTAGTAGTTAAAGTAGGTCGGAAAACATATTGTGAAGCTGTTAAGTCGCAGTTAAAAAGGACAAAAATATAACAGTGGCGGATACAGACCTACAGATAAAGGGGGACCCGGTTTTCCATACCCTGAAATAAGGGGGGAAGCCGGTCTCACATTTTTTTTTCCTGGCCCTTTGGGCCTCAGTTTGGTCTAAAAATAAGGGGGCCCGGGCCCCCGGGCCCCTCCCTACATCCGCAGTCACCTAGTAGTTAAAGTAGATCGGAAAACATATTGTGAAGCCCTTACGTCGCAGTTGAAAAGGACGAAAATATAACAGTGGCGGATCCAGACCTACAGATAAAGGGGGACCCGGTTTTCCATACCCTGAAATAAGGGGGGGAGCCGGTCTCAAATTTTTTTTTCGGCCCTTTGGGCCTCAGTTTGGTCTAAAAATAAGGGGGGCCCGACCCCCGGGCCCCTCCCCTACACACGCCACTGAATTAGGGAGTCAGTTTCTTACCCCAAGGAATATCAGAGTATCCGCAAAAGACGTACGTATCTTTCCGTACAATGGTAACGGTGTCGTTCTTTCCATCGCAGCGACTGTGAAACTGATCGGCCCTCCAGCCGTGCAATGAAGCACGCCAGCACAGCAACCAGTGAGAATTGCCCCCAACCACAGGCTCCAGAAACTTGCCCAAACAACGGACATAGCAATCACTGATGGATAATATCGGCGAGTTCATTAATTCTGCAAAAAAGTAATTGACAAAATAATATAATACACATTCAAACCTCCTTAATACGGGCAAAATTGACAATTAACTGACAATTGGAACTTCTAAGATGTCCTAGATCTCTTTTTTTAGACGTCTGAGGTAGACTCATGCGGTTTTAAAGTGCGTTTGATGTTGTAACGCACTTCACAGACCTGCTAGTCATGTCGGAAGTTTAAGCTGTCCATAGTAGAGATGAGGCGCACTGAAGGTACAGCCAGAATTATTTTGTTTTAATATTCCTGGACTGGTCTAAAAGTCTCGGAGAACGCTCCAGTTAAATACGGCAAGCTAACAAGATAAGCGGCGTGCAAACGCTAGAAAAGAAAGAACTATTAGGCAGCTCCTAGAGCTCCACAATCTTGGATAGAATAAAATGAAACACCAAACTGTCCGCCTCCTTAAGCTTGTCGCCCTCCGGGGATGGAGCTATGGGAAGGTCAAAACACGCTGTTTTTCTGTCCTTGATTTTAAGGTAGGGAGTCCTTAATGGCTTCTGTCTATTTTGTC